AGATTGGAAGTCTTTAGGTAAGAAGGAAAGGGCAAGAGATATATAGTGTACCTATATACCTCTTGCCCTTTCATTCTAAGTAGAAATGGGAGAAACTTTGTCCGCATCATAAGTTATGCGGACAAAGTTTCTCCGATTTCTAATGGGAATTGCAGGCTATGAGGCACTGATATATAATCAGTACCTCATAGCCTACAATTCCCCTTATTAGACTTCCAAACTTTGAGTTAATGTCTTTACATTAACTCAAAGTTTGGAAAACTTCTCGTAAGAATCAATCGTCAAAAACCTCGATTGCAGTTATATTCATTGTGTTAAATTTGATTTATTTTGAAATTTTTATAAATTAAATTTTATATAACATAAAGCGTTATGAATTAGTATTTCCATATGAATTTTATCTCGAAAATAGTAATTCTGTACAGTTATATTTCGGTTAATTTTGGAAATTTCTAGGAATACTTTAAGATAGTATGATTATATATAACTCTGCCTTCATGATTTATTTTAGCTTTCGCGCAAATATCAGTTAACTTAACTCCATTATTTGATTTTGTGATGGCTTCACAAAGCCAATCAATATCAATCTCTTCTGGAGAATGTCTTCTCATCTAGAATATTTTCAATACTTTACATACAAACATTTTTATTTCTAAAAAACTTTTTAATTTTTTCTAGGATATATGAATGAAAATAGTTAGAACAAGATTTTGAAGCTCAAAACATTAAAAATTATTAAAGATTTGTATAATATGATTAAAAATGGGAAATAATATGAGGCAATATAAAGGAATATGAATATTAAATAAATATATCTAAATAGAAAGAATCAGAAAAATCAAATTATTGGCGCCAAAAATGTCACCTTTTTGGTGAGCCATTTCGGTATGAGATAGGTTTATTTTTAAGGTTCTCGCTGGCGACCCCCCGTTCGTCGAAAAAAAATTGATTTTTGCTGGCGACCCCCCAATCACCAATTTTTTTTCGACGAACGTGTGGGGGGTCGCCAGCGAGAACCTAAAAAAACAGAATCCCAAAAAGGTGACATTTTGGGTGTATCGTCTATCCCAGGGATAGAAAAATGACTTCACCTTGGATCTATATTTTTAACGGACGAAGGAGTATTTGATCAAAGTTCAATAAGGCTATCACACTATATTATAGTTAGCTTGCAAAGTAAGCAATAAAATTTGAAATTTAATAACTTCATAAAGATTTGATAAAACCATTTTTGTGTAAATTAGTATTTAATAGGAAAATATGAAATTAGATTAGTCAAACATATAAATTGTTATTATATGAAATGATAACAATTGATAAAACATACAGATTGGAAGATTAGGTGAATTTTTGTGATGAATAGGTGTGTTTGTATGTAATGCCTCTATAGTATATTCATAATAAAAATTAGTATACTATAAAAACTTGATTTGAGAAGAAAATTAATGTGGAATAAGAAGATTGTAGAGAAACGTCTCATTCTGTGAGACAGTCACAAATAATATCTCCTTACCATATCAAATCCTTAAATTTTATATATGCTATTTTTTTAATCTTTTAAAAATTTCTCTTTAACTCTCTTCAAAGACTTTCTTTTATGTCAAAAATTTGTTTCACTTTGCCCCAACTCATATACTCTAAAAATAATAACAATAGCCAAATATATAAAATTAATTTTTAATTCATTAAAATTATATTTATTCAAAGTAAATCCTCATATAAACTTCTATGAACCATCCTCATCTGTTAATTCAATCAAGTATTCTAAGAAATTTGGGCAATTTTCTTCGAATAATTGGCTCTCATATGATAAATCTATTAATTCAATTTTGTCATGCATAAAATCATACTTTCCGAATATGCAATAGCATTTTTCAAGAGCCAACAATAAATCAATTTTAAATCTTAGACTGTTATTATTAAATGATTCAAGTAGTCCTTCCTCCAATAAAAAGTGGTACATTATTTGTTGATCGTTCTGTGAAAATTCGAAATTTAAGATACAATAGCAAATTATCTGAACGAAAAAATTTTTCTTGCTAGAATTGTAATCATTATAATTATCAATAATATTTGAAAAAAGACCGCTATAAAAGATAAAATCTTGATCGAAATGCGTAAAAACAATGAAAAGTATCTGATTGAAGAATTCTGGAACGCTTTGGTCTAGACACCACCATATGTAACGGTTAAGAGAGAACTGTTGATCTTGCATTATAAAGTCTACTAGTGAAATTTCGTTATTCATTAAAGAATACAATAATGTACCTATTTTCTTTTGTTTATTATGTGTTGATTTGTTTTGCCATTGAAAATAACATAGATATGTATCATCGGATTCTAATGCTAAAATTTTAAAGTCGTAATAAATAACAATCCGGGTAAAAACAAGGATATTTTCGTCAAATGCATCTATTTTGTCAACAGGAAATGGTATCGTGGAGACACAATCACCAATATCGATATTTTCAACATCTTGTTTATAAGATTTGATATTCATTAAAATTTGATATAAAAAAGTAAATTCATTGCTCAGAAAATTGAGAAAATTGAGAGTAACCGCCAAATAAGATTTTTAAAAATAAAGAACTAAGGGTACAGTATATGAGAAGTAAGAATCCAAAATTTTATTTTTAAGGTTTTGCAAGAAATATTTTTATTAATAAACGGTAGAATAATAATAGGAATATCGATATTAAAAAAGAAATACATGAAATAAAGAAAAATTTGATTCAACTTTGACAAGAATCACAAATGATTCTTCTCAAAGTTGCTCAGTGAACAACAAACACTTGTTATTGTTTATAATTCAAGTGAATGTTGTACACAAAGACAACAATTGTCTATCAATTGTTGTCTTTGATTCAACTTTGACAAGAATCACAAATGATTCTTCTCAAAGTTGCTCAGTGAACAACAAACACTTGTTATTGTTTATAATTCAAGTGAATGTTGTACACAAAGACAACAATTGTCTATCAATTGTTGTCTTTGATTCAACTTTGACAAGAATCACAAATGATTCTTCTCAAAGTTGCTCAGTGAACAACAAACACTTGTTATTGTTTATAATTCAAGTGAATGTTGTACACAAAGACAACAATTGTCTATCAATTGTTGTCTTTGATTCAACTTTGACAAGAATCACAAATGATTCTTCTCAAAGTTGCTCAGTGAACAACAAACACTTGTTATTGTTTATAATTCAAGTGAATGTTGTACACAAAGACAACAATTGTCTATCAATTGTTGTCTTTGATTCAACTTTGACAAGAATCACAAATGATTCTTCTCAAAGTTGCTCAGTGAACAACAAACACTTGTTATTGTTTATAATTCAAGTGAATGTTGTACACAAAGACAACAATTGTCTATCAATTGTTGTCTTTGATTCAACTTTGACAAGAATCACAAATGATTCTTCTCAAAGTTGCTCAGTGAACAACAAACACTTGTTATTGTTTATAATTCAAGTGAATGTTGTACACAAAGACAACAATTGTCTATCAATTGTTGTCTTTGATTCAACTTTGACAAGAATCACAAATGATTCTTCTCAAAGTTGCTCAGTGAACAACAAACACTTGTTATTGTTTATAATTCAAGTGAATGTTGTACACAAAGACAACAATTGTCTATCAATTGTTGTCTTTGATTCAACTTTGACAAGAATCACAAATGATTCTTCTCAAAGTTGCTCAGTGAACAACAAACACTTGTTATTGTTTATAATTCAAGTGAATGTTGTACACAAAGACAACAATTGTCTATCAATTGTTGTCTTTGATTCAACTTTGACAAGAATCACAAATGATTCTTCTCAAAGTTGCTCAGTGAACAACAAACACGTATATAACCATAAATAAAACATGTTTACTTTACAAATACAATTATTTAAAAATTTTAATTATATCTTTTAATTTATATTTATTTACGTTCACATTTCTTTTATATCCTTTATATTAATATAAAATTTCGGTTGATCTTCACTCTTTTTCACATATTTTTCAATAAAATACCCAATTTTTGTATTTATTCTGATTAATATTTTTCACTGTTAATTTTATTGATATCTCAAACTATTTCAACATTTAGTTTCTTAAAAACTCTATTTTTTGTTCTCTCTCTCAATTTTCAAAAGTCATTAATTTTGCATTACTTTATTTAAAATATAATTAACATTGGATAAAAACATTTATTATAATGCCATTTTGGATCAATCTTATGATATTTCAAATCTTTTAAAATACACTCATTCATAACAAATAGTTGCCCTAGACATGTGCGTAACCTCTGTGTACGATATTCCAACACCTTACGACCTGTATGCAAGTTTTTAATTATTGAATAAAAAAACAACAACATACCGTACTTCGAGTATAAAACATGTATACCCTAATAAAAACAAAAATTAGGACATATTTGATTTATGATTTCTTTTCACAAATCGAAATTTTGATCTCTCAATTTTAAACATTTTTCAAAAAAAAACTTATAAATATATTTCTTATTGTATAATATTGAAAAATAAATCATCATGGATGAATATTACTAGTACTTCAGAATTATTTATTTTTTCGATCTAAATATAGAAATAATATCTACTCTATATAAAAATAACAATTATTTAATTTTATTGAAATTTTTATTATTTGATTAATATATTTTATGTGATATCTTAAATAGCAATAAAAACTACACCACATAGTTATTCTAGGGTACCTTCATCTACTTCTAGAATTATAGGCTCTGGATTCGAATCTATGGTGCGCTATTGATAAAGTAAATTTCTCCATAGGCCCCCAAAAAATTGACAACCCAGGAATTATAGGGTAATAAGAAAAAATCTTATGGTTCAACAAGATAAGTGAACATCTTTCCGCCTTTGACATCAATTTCACCACGTTCTTTGATTTGCAGCTCATGTAAAACCCCTTTTTAATATATTAATAATAATCTAGATTTAATAAAAACAAAAAAAATAATGAAAACAAAAAATCTTATGGTTCTACGAGATAAGTGAACATCTTTCCGCCTTTGACATCAATTTCACCACGTTCTTTGATTTCGAACTGTTGGCCATAGATAAGTTCATAAACTGGGCGGCTGATGTGGACTTTCATTGGGACACCTTTGTTCTCCATCTCGTGTGCCATGTTGATTGCCGGACCAAGGATTTCGAATGTCGGCTTCTCGGTGCCAATGACACCGGCGACAATTGGTCCTCCTGTGTTGATACCAACACGAATACGCAAGTTCTCTTTCTCGCGTTCATCGATCTCGAGAAGTTTCTTGATGACTAGTGTGCCGAAGTCGACAACTTCTTTAGCGTGAACTGCTGGCTGATTGACTTCATCGAAGATACCACCAGCAGCCATGTAACAGTTACCAATGCATTTGATCTTTGTCATTGTCTTGTGTGCATTTGTGATTGCATCGAATTCCTTGAACATGATATTCAACATTCTCATGACATACTGTGCATCATGAGAGCCACACCATGGTGTGAATTCGACAACATCCAAGAAGAGGACTGTTGCTGATTGGACTGAGAATGAGATGTTCTTTTCACCTGCTTGAACTCTTTGGACTAACATTGGTGGCAATATTGATGCCAACATTTGGTCTGATTTCTTCTTTTCATCAGCAATCAACTTCTCGTGCATCATGTTTTGTGTTTCATCTCTTCCTGAGTATATTCTTCTTCCACTCATGACTGATGTTGTCCAGTCAAGATAGATTTTTTCTGTGTCATCCTTCTTGAAGATGAGTTTCTGTCCTTGTGTGAAAACTTTCTCAATCTCTCCATCAGCAATGAATCTTCCTGATTTGAAGAAGTCTTGAATTGGTGTATCTCTGATTTCGTCTTCTTTGATGCCGAACATTGTTTCGAATGAGTTATTGACTGAGATGACTTTTCCTGTTTCATCTTGGCAGACAATAATGACTTCATTCAGCCTGTTGACGACATCATTTGTGAATTCGGCTGATTTCTGTGATTGATCATCGTGTGTTTTATATGTGTAGTTGCCAATCAACAAGTCCATAACACGTTGGTTTCCTAATGTTGCTGATGATGGACATTTGAGGAATAGCTTCAATGTGAACTTAAGGAGTTTATCTTCTTTCACTGCCATTACTATAATGATCAAAGACAAAAATGATGTTGAGATAATGAACATTGCTGAATAGAAGTTTTGTTCGAAATCTTCGCTTCCAATCTTTTCTACAATGATTGGAACAATTGATTCTTCAGCATGCCAGAAGAAAGTAAGGTATAGTTCAACAGGACCGATCTGCCAAAGTTGTGGTAAGTTCTGGTGTGATGGATTCATGTAATATGGATTAGGAACAGTCATCAAGCCATAATATCTCTTCATAATCATTGTTGCAACGTATAATTGCTGAGCTGCACTCAAACAATGGGTAGAATCCTGAAGTCTTGTTGGTGGCTCTAAGATATTGAAGCATGTCAAAGCATTTGATGCATCATTGATAGATTGTTGCATTTCACTAATGGAATTTCTCTTCTGTCTTCACCACCTAATCTGATCATCTGGAAATATGAAACTAACATTGGAATTCTCTCTTTGATGTTATCTATCTCCTCATCAAGGCTGACAATTGATGGTCTCAATGCTGGATGGTACATTGCCATTGAAATCTTGAAGAAAGAAGCCATGATACTGTAAAGATAGGAGTTTGCACCAAAGAGATAGTTAATGTGATGGCAGTTATAAACAACATTCTCTGATGCAGAAATGTAGCTTTGCATTGAAACGTAGTAGCTCAAGCATCCCAAAACTGTGATCACTAGTATGCAGAAACCAATAACTAATTCAATTGATGCCTTTGATGAACCATCGGAAATACTGGAGAATAATTTAATGATACTCTCTTCTTGTTTGTTCAATTCGATATCATTTGATGAGGATGAAGATGTCATTGTTTTTGTTTCATCACCCTTCCTGCTTGTATACGAAGCAGAAATTGATGAAGTAACTGTCTTTGGTAATGTTGTTAAAACATAAAGGACTTCATATCTGTTTCTTCTAAGTTTCTTGATCTGTAAAAGATAAATAGTTGGATAAATAATAGCACAAGCAACAATTGCTAAAATGATTGTAAGCTCGAAGTACAATTGATATGATTTGTTGTTCTTCTTCAAGAAATCAATCATTTCAAGAAGTGCTTGATTCAAAAGAAGCAAAGCATTTTGGCAATTGTTTCTTGCTGTTAATGAATCTGCTCCATTAGCAATTTCAACTGTGATCTCTGGAAGATCTGTGATTCTTCCAATAACTGCTGCAAGTTGATAGCTGATATCTGTTGTTGAAGCAAGAACATCATGTTTAAATGTATTGTTCAAATAATAGGAATAATTTGTGATCTTTGTAAACATAATATCTCTCACTTTTTCTATATGCGGATCTCCTACTTTGTAATTTCTTAATGGACTAACAACTTCACTCGCTGTTGAAACTGTTTGAGCAATCCAACGAATGATATCAATTGTTTTTGAGTATCCAGCAAAAGCATCCCAATTTAATGTAATTCGGAATGGAATTTCCATTTCAATCTTCTTTGATGGATCATATGGATCATCCAAACTCTGTAAAATGTATCTGCCTGCGAAAGCTGTGAGCATGCAAATGATATCACGAGTATCTGCAATACCTTTCATGAAATTGACTGGATCTTCTAAGACAACTGCAAATTCGTAGTAAACACCAAGCATAATGATAAGCGGAATAATGATTACAAAGAGCTCTGCAAGAACTGTTGTCCAAATGATAAAATGAATTGAAGGAATCTTGTGATTCTGAATATGCTTGTAAATTGTTTCAACAGCTTCATAGTTTTCGGTATCATCAAAGAGTGTATCGTCAAGTCCAGCTTGTGACTCGACTTCTACGATTTTCTGGATGTCAGTATCAACACAAACATCTGGAATTGTTGGAAATGCGATCATACCAAGCTCATGAATTGTATCTTCTGCAACGCTAATACCTCTCTAGAGCTTTTGAAGTATATCTATGGCAGATTTGGTAGCAACTGGGTCACCTTTGATATCATTAAGGAACATTACGTATTGGCGAGCCACGTATTTGTTGTTATGGTATTGCATTAACAAATGGTTCATTTCTACTTCGCATTCTTCTACCGAATCTTTTGTATTTCGAATTTGAATTCCCATTTCGGTAGTGTTTCCTTGTAACGTAAGATCCCAAATGTTTCTCAGACGTTTCTTAGTCTTGTTGAACATTTTAGAGAGCTTGGAAATCTTACTTTTGAGTTGCTGTGTAAATTTGGTTTCTCTTGTCTTAATTATGTATCCTGTGGAGCTTAGTAAAACAGATTGGACGATTTTTGCATTGGTTTTCATCTGGGAAACGTTTTGTGCAATAAATGAGAGCTGGAGGTTTTCTTCTGGGTAAATCGCAATAAATTTTGCATAAAGTGCCCAAGCTGCTATGTTGTCCTTCCATTCCTGTACTGCAAGCTTGAATATTTTGAAGCTTACGCATATTGGATGGCAGTACATGAAGCCAGTTGGTAAAATTTGCTTCCACTTCCTGATACTCTTCAAGATAGTGATATCCTGTGTATCATCTATTTCATCTAAGAGCTTAAGATCGTTTTTCATTCGACGGTTAATGAAGATGTAAGTACCTACAAAAACGATTAAGCAGACCAATGACTCCGACGAAGAAATATGGCCCCATGGCTCCTCTGCAAAGACAGTATATAAGTTTGCTGCACAGAGAAGTATACCAAGGATATCCACCTAAAGCCATACTTGATCCCGTTTCTTAACGAAAGTTCCACAACAAAGACGTGGATGCACAGTAAATGTAAAGGAAGATGGAAAGGATCATCATTGCTGCTGAAGGATATGAACCAAAGTTAGTTGTTAAAGCAGATGCAAAAGTAACAATAGTTGTTGTGATCAAAAGCCTGGTCTGTGGAGCTCTTCAATTGATTGGAATGACACTTGTCTGAATACCAATGAAATTGAATAGGCTTTGATGATAATCCACATCCACATAAGAATCGCAATGGCTGATGTGGCAACAGCTATGCTTGATTTAACATCCGTAGCAACATCCTTGGAAATGTAGCCTGATAAAATTTGTCCGCAGTATTGAGCTGAAATTGGGACAAAAAGAAATGGACCAATTGCTAAATAGATGCTAAGCGCAATTGTTGAGAAGTTCGATACCTTTGATGACTTTTTGAACTTGAAAGCGACAACTACAAGGTAAATTCCAAATATAATGAGTAAGGAATTAACGACGTATAGAATAATCCAGCCGTTACCTCTTCTATATTGTAGTGGAATTAAATGGAAAAATACAGTAAGAACGCTCATTACTTTAAAAGTGAATGTTCCGGGCACAAAAGAGTTAAGATTAGCAGCCATGAAAAGCCACCAAGTAACTCCAGGAACCTGAAGAATGTAACAATATTGTAAACGAAAGACATCCTTGGTGCATAAATATCAAAGTAATTAAACAAAGAAGTAAGTGCAATCAATTAAACGCTCATTCAGAGGAATATCAATTAGACCTTCATATCTACTGATGGATGATGTGGCAAAGTCAGTTGATGTGATAGAGGTCTGGGACGTTACCTCTTCCATCTAAAAATGAATTGTTTTGTTAAAATTATCGACAATAAGTTTTGAAAGGCATTGAAACTTAATATTACACGCAATATGAAAATTAATTGATGATTTGGATCTAGATAGTGGATAAAAGGACTTCTGATTTTGATTTGATATAATTTAAAAAGTTTATTTTTGAGATAATTGAATTTTTTTGTTAATCGTTTGAATTGAGAAGATAATTGAAAATTAGGAGAAGGTAAAAATAAGAGAGTTGATAGAATTTAAAGGTGATTAATATTATTGAGGAATTATTAATTCTGATAGCAGTATTCTTTGAAAAATCGAACTACATTCAATTTTTATTTATAAAATTAATTGTTCAGTTGGAACTATTATGGTATGGTATATTTATCAATAATCATTATCGAAGAATTTGATAAAGGAATTAAGTTTTGAATTTCTTTTTCAAATTAAATGGAAAATATGCTTGATCAAATTCTTAAAAAGAAGAAATCGATTTGAGATAAATCGATCATATTTTGAATATAAATTTTGAATAGTTTTAAATAGTATTTCTGATAACATTAATATAACTCAATTAAAAGTTATTTTCGGGTAATTTATAATGTACATCTTATGTCTAAAATGATTCATTTCACGTTTTTAGGTTATTATTTGAATTCTGAAATTTCTCATTCAATCTTTTTCAAAGGGTTTTCAAATATTTTATACGTTCAAATTTGTTTTTGCTCTCATATAAAAGATAACTATTATTACTATCTCATAACTCCGATTTCTTCGTTTATTCAATTTTTTCAAAAGATTATTAAAAGAGAAAATTATCCTTTGAGATGTGTTACTAAATAAAGAAAGTGTTTAAAGTTTAAACCAACTAAATTGAATTAATTAATCTTATTGCACGTTAATTTATAAATCGATCTTTCCTTTATCATCATGATTTTCTATACAAATTAAATTTTATTATAGTTTCTTTTAATTGAATATGCGATTTTCAATTAAAAAAATCCCAAATGAGTTTTATAATTATATATATGATTTGATGATATATTTTAATTTCAAATAAATATCTCAATTTTTAAATTGATAAAAAACCAATTCAAAAACATTTCGGTTTGTATTGTTTCAATAAAGTAACAATTGATCGACTAGTACTAATAATATCTATTATTTTCATTAATTTTTAAAATAGTGAACTAAAGATTGATATCACCAACTAACTTAGATTTTATGCATTTATTGAGAATAATCTTATATCTATTTCGGTAATTGAGTTCATAAATTATACTCATGGCTCCTAATAGTATAATTATTCTATCATGTTTTACGAAAAGGAGTTGTACTTCATATTTGCTATAAATATGTTCTAGGTAATCTGAAATTACATATTTAAGTATTTAGCTGCTAATTTGTCTTGAATTTAAAAAATAATATTTCTTATGTTTTGCCATGGTTTGTAATTTAATATGATAGTAAAAGAATCCATCGTTGATTAAAATAAACAAATATCTTTAATTACATTTTTAACAAACAAAAATTTATTACTTCTTCTGAGTTTTCACGAATTTTTGGGTTGAGCTGTCTTTTTGGCCATAAGTTCTCTGGCTCTCGGACGCCGAAGCAGTATTTGATGTTTTTTGTCTTGATAACATCTTTTTATCAGCTTTCTCGTCTTTATCTGATTTTACAGACTTTTTCTCTATACCAGACATATCCTGGGAAATGTTTGCCAGTTTTCTGATTACAGCATTTAAGCCGGAAGAGTGTTGTGAGAGTTCATCTTTTGTAGGGCCTTTTTCTTGCAATTCTAGGCTTGTTAAGATGAATATTGCGGCTTCGTTCATTACGTACATAAGTTCTTGTTGCTTTCTAAGTTTTTCATCGCGAATAAATTCCGCATGCTCCAAACTTTTTTCTTGTAATGACACTTGGCGCTTAAGATTATCGTTTTCTTGCTGAGCATTTGTTAAGCGCTCATTTAGTTCTGCAATTTTATTGTTCATTCTGTTCCTCAAAGCATCTAATTTTTGATTTGATGTTTCTATGGCTTCTTCCACCTTTTTAGCTGTATCATTGAGTTTTGATTTGAAATCTACGGCCTGTGCTGTTAAGTTCTTTTCTGTATCTGTTAGAAGACGCCTTTGTTGTTCAAGATCTTGTAATTGATGGCGAAGTTGATCGTTTTTCTTAATGACTTCAAGTGTATTATTGTTATCAGCCTTCAGAGCTTCTCTTTTAGCTTCTGTCTCGTGTAGAATCTTTGTTGTGGCCAAATCAAGGTGTAAATCTTGAAACTCTGTTGCAAATGAGTCAGCTTCTGCTAAATCATGAGAGAGCTGTTTCTCATAGTATTCTCTTTGCGCTTGAAGCTTCTTATGAATGGCAGATTGTTCTGCTAATCTTTCTTTTCTTTCTTTCGAAATAAGTTGTGAAATATTACGCATCTGTTCATCCATTTGGTGCTTATGCTCTTGGAACTCTCGTAAACCACGAAGCTGGTGTAAAGCGACTTGGATCTTTGATTTCAAATTTGTTTCGATTTCATGAGCTTGGTATTGCATTGCTTCGACTTGAGACTCATATTTTTCTTTTTGAGACTCAACTTCTATTTCAAGTTGTCTCAATTTCGAATTTAATCGCTTTTTCTTTTTCTGCTGTTTCAATGCTGCATGGTTAAGATATTTAATTCTGTCGTTTTGTGATTCCTTCTTTCTATCAACGTCTAAAGCAACAGATTGCAATTGTTTCTTAAATTCTTGAATAACTTGGTTTGCACGAGTCCTAGAAGACTTAATATTCATTAATTCATTCTCCAAACACTCTGTTTCTACTGTAAGTTTCTGAACTTGTTGTATTTGATCACCTTTAATTTCGATTTTTTTATCCATTTGAAAAAAAATTACGTTATAATTTTAGATTCTTTTAAAAAAAGCTGAAAACAATTAATTAGCTCTATTTCTCTGTAACAATGAATTTACCAACTAGAATGTAATTGAAATGTCAATGATTTGAATAAGATATTTGATATTAGAGCATAATATGCAAAACATTAATACACTACTACATATTTATCGAGAATACATCATAGCAATTGTCATTATGTTTGTAATTACTCATATTTTATTCAATTATGTTTGTAATTATTCACCTCAAACCATCATATCTAAGCTAAACTTGTTTCAACGATTAATATTCATCCATATGGCCCTTTAATAATGCAGTTGTACATATATATATATTGCCTCATAATTTTCTGGATCATTAGATCAAATTTCTATTAATACTTAAATATCTATCTGTTTATATATTGAGCAATGCATGTAAATAGATAGAAAAGGATAAGTATTAACTTTGATCATCGATATTTGATACTCGTGAAAATAATATCCCTTGAAATAAATCATAAATCAAATAGGAAAAGATATGGGAATATCAGATCTCAAAGAAAAAAAATAAAAATCAAATTATATAAAAGCCAAAAGGCAATGAAAATTTATAATTAAATTAAATAATGGAAGGTAAAAAGAAATAATAATTACAATGTCAAATGATCTGTTTAAGACTTACTGAGGAAGCATGTTATTTCCATCATTTGGAGCTTCTTCGTCGAATTCATCGGCGAATGGATCGTCCTGAGCATCCTCGTTGTAGAGTGGGTTATCATTCTCCTGAGCTGCATCGCCATCTGGACCATTGAAAAGATCTGGATCCTCTGGATCGAACTCCTTTGCCTTGATTTTTGCTTCATGAATGAGAACAGCAGCAGCGACGATTGCAGCAACACCGACAGCAGCAGCTGCACCAGCGATGATTGGGATTAATTTCTTCTTATTCTGTTTAGAGTTAGAATTAGATGCTACTCCAGAGCCTGCGTTAGCCCATTGAGCTTCAGATGCAGATGGTGTTGGTGTTGGTGTCAAGTCTGGTGTTCTCTTTGGCGGTGGTTTGGATTGAGTGATGAAGTAGAATGATGTGTTAGATGGTACATATGTGATTGTTGGATCACCATTAGAATCAGAAGTATATGTTGGAACATATGTCGTTGTTTCATTGGAATCAATGTAGTGTCCAGATGGAGGCTTGGTATCAATAGGTGTTGGAATTGGAGATGGGGATGGAACTGGAGATGGATTTGGATACTTGACATTTGTGAATGTGAATATTGCATCTCGAGAGTTGGAGCCACGCTGATCAACAACTACGAAAATAAGCGAATGGTTGCCAGCATCAAGATGTGGAATTGTGTATTCGAAATCGAATTTAACCCATTCGCCCTGAGATGTTACTGTGTAGAATGGATTGAATGGAGCTGTTGGATCATCTGTTGGATACTTAACACTGAGTGTCAATGTATCGCCAACATCGAGATCTCTGAACTGACCTGAAACAAAGATTTTATTGTTGTAGTGAACACTGTCATTGAAATCTGTTGTAAGCATGATCTCTGGAGCATGAAGCTGGACATAAGTGAATGGGAAGTCGTATTGTGTTGACTTGACACGGAACTCATCAGTAGCCCAGATGTGAAGAACGTGAGAACCATAGCTAAGAACTTTCTGTCTAAGAGGGAATGTCTTACGGAATGGAACTTCGACGTTGTAGCAGTCGATTTGAGAGTTGACAGAGAAAGCAAAGTCATTATCGAATTGATAGGAAATGACAGCATATGTATCATCCCAAAGCTTGCCTTGAACATCAACTGTACCACCTGTGTAATATGTGGAAGCAATTGTGTTGGTGATTGTCAACTTTGGAGCCTGGTTAACAAGAAGTTGCTTTGTGAAGACGTTTGATTT